ATATTCAGCTGCTTGAAGAGTGGTTAAAAAAATGGAAAATAACAATAAATACGGATAAATGCGTCCATATAACCTTCACGTTAAGGAAAAAAGCATCACCTTATATCACACTGAATCATATCGTAATCCGACAAATGAAAGCTGTCAAATACCTGGGTTTGCACATGGACTCCAAACTTACCTGKAAACAACATATAAATAAAAAAATCCAGCAAATTAAGCTTAAAAGGAGAGATATGTATTGGCTTACCAGCAGGCAATCTAAACTATCACCTGAAAACAAATTACTGCTATACAAGGCAATAATCCACGTGCTATATTTACATTGTAATAAACTAATTTACCGAATGTCCAAGCTGGACAAATTGTAAAGAAAAGTGGTCGTAATAAAAAAAAAAAAAGAATTCGTTACCGAACGAAGTTGACACTCTTACAACCTCGAAGCGATTATCGAATCAAACAAAACAGGAGAGACGTAGCATAGAAGAAACGATAACATAGAGGTCACATTACTACTCAACGACGTACAACAGTAATTGTCCAAACATTTTCAAATACAACGACGATTATTTAAACGTTTTAATTCGTTTTACATTAATTACAAATTGTTTAATTGCATTTTATCGACAAGTAAAATTCTAATTACAATTAATTAATTGTTACATTGTATAGATAAACAAGGAGTTAAGTCTCATTTTTTCTATCTTTACCACCTTATCTTCTAACGAGGGAGAAACAGCTCGAAGGTAAACAAACGTGAAAAAGGAGTTATCGCAAAAGTTCTTAATAAACGGGCATTATCGCGGGACGCAACGCCGCGAAATATATATTGTTCTCAGTTAACTACTTTCGGGGTTCCTTGTAAACGGGAAATTTTGCGAAGAGCGAACGGTACAACTTTAACAAAGTTAGATGAATCGCCTCGCTTTCGAACTAATCCCGTTCAATCCTCTCTCTCTCTCTCTCTCTATCTCTCTTTCTCACTCTTTTTCTCTCTCTTTTTCTCTTTTTCTCTCTTCCACGTAATACGAAACGCTTATCCGTGGAAATTACGAGTTATTTGGACAAAACATCAAATTGCTTTTTCCTCTTATTGTAGACGACATAAGGGCGTATTTTATACCTTTCATTACTACTAAATCCGATTATGTTATTCGGAAAAAAAATATCTTTGTTTTTATTGTCGTATTGGTATTTAGAAACGCTATATAACAGTACAGAATAATAATTCAAGAAAATAAATTTTCAAAATTTGTTGAACATGCACTCATATACATATTCTTAAAAATCACACTTGTATGAGAGATTGCCGAAATCGATTTTATCATATTGATAGCATTTTTAGTAGACGGATAAAAAAAGAATATTTTCCTTCATAAAATAGTATTTGTTTCATATCTTTACAATTTTCCGTTCCTAAGGTACCGTCTTTCGAAATAATGTTATTCATAATTAGTATAAAGTCATGCCTAATAGCGAAATAAATGTTCATACATCGTCTAACTGTGAGTTAATATTTTAAGTAACAAATATAAAAGGTTAATTTTTTTGTCTGAAATCTTACGACATATATTAGCAATAATTGTTTAATTATTTATTGTAAATAATATCTTTTGTTTACAATGAATATAAATTGATTTATTTTAATATCATATAATTATCGTCGAAGTTTTGCTCTTACGTGAAATCATCACAGAACAATCTACGAAAGGTTATCTTGTTGGTTTTGGCGTTAAGAATGTTACTTCGAAACGATTACGGGCTAGCAAATGAACTATTACCGTATTCTCGAGCAAAAGTAAGGGTAAAAAGATGAATGAAAAAAGGGTAAAAAGAGTGAAAAAGGGGGTGAAAGGTGAGAAAGCGAGCCATGTTAGCGTAACTAAGTACTTATGCCACATGAACAAGCCTCTTAAATTTCATGCTGCATGTTACGATGATAAATCTTAATTATTTCATTTCTGATTCATCATAAAAGTTTACACTTAATTCATCTATCTTTATTCTTCATTTATTCTTTATTTCGTCAAGAATCTTTATCTTACTCTTCAGTCCTTTCATTTCAATTTTCATATTCTGCATCTAACAATTATTTCATTTTCATTTTGTTTTTCTAATTAATTTGTTTATTTAACACGTACGTTTCTTATTCATTTGATTTATCATTTAGCGGTTCAAGTATCGTATACATCCTAAACCCCATCAGTTTGACTTTATAGGAAGAGTATTGTACCTGAAGGAACTTAAAAGGAATTCAGTCATACTCGTATCGATCTAATGGGAATAGACGACGCAGTGAATGCCGATCATTCGTAATATCACACTGGCTGTCGAGCTGTGGGCCTCCTAAATTCCGAACCATGCTTATGCGCTGCCACAACCAGCCACTCGTACGACCCTAATTGCCATTAGCCAGTAGCCACTTCTCAAAATTAGTTCACCCTGTCTCACCTCGTGGTTCGCTCCATACATTGTCCACCAACTACTTTCTTCTCTATCTTTTCTTTCCCTTTTCGTGTTTCATTCACGAATCGTATATTTAATTACATAAATCAAATGTGCATTGATAAAAATTATTATATGAATAATGCAATTAGTCTTTTCTCATTTTTGTTTGTTTTATAATTCACTGATAACACTTAAACGTATTAACTTCATTTATATAAACTCTAACATTTAAATGTTTTATTATAATAATTACATGAATTATCTTTCTCGTCTACATTTTTAATATAATATAATATTTAAAGCATTACTTTCTTCTAGAATAAACAAATAAACAAGGAAATAAGTATTAAGTAGATTGTGGTCTTTGCAAAAATGACGTATTAAAGGTATATGCAAGAAAATTTCTTCTCTTCCTATCTCAAGAGGACGCGTTTTACGCGAGGATTACGTCGAGAGGGTAGTTACGTCCATCTGCTATGGCGATCTGCGACGCTGACGTCGCTCTTTCTCATTTTCTATCCTTATTCCATCCAACCTAAGTTAAACCCGTCCTTTTCTTTCTCTACCATCGCGTAATTTATTCGCCTGTGAAAATTTATTAGCCGACGAGTCAGCGTATACCATCCGACTAAAATCGCGATGCATTTCTATTCGAAAGTAGATGCTTCTTTTCAAAATTGAACGTGCTTTTTAATTCGACACTTCCCAGCTAAGCTTCATTTTTTTTCAAGTTATACGCGAAACCTTTCATTTAAACCTATATTCTCTTTCTCTCTTTCTTTTCCTTTTCTTTTTGTTGTTTGAAGAATTATATTCCGTACGTGTGGTAGAGCTCGACAAAAAAAAATAAAATGTGAATATCGTGCGTCACGCTAATACTTACAACGCGTTTCGCGACTTCGTACTACGATAAACTGCTTCGTAATGTAGACGTTTTGTTATCGAACCATTCGTTGTGGTTGAGAAGTGTAGATTTGAAACTTGAAGGACATGCTCGAAAACTAATATATGTAAAAAATATCAGAATAAATTTGTTTTATAATAGTACACAAATATACGATTTAAATAATACGATCATTCTTATGAGCAGAATTTGAATACACGGATAGATTATTACAAAAATACGTATATTTTTTGCATTTTTATTTCTATTATATAAATAAATTATTCTGACAATCAAGTTATTTTATAAAAATATTGTTTTTCTGCAATTATTTTTAATAATAAAATTTGTTTTTTGTTCGAAAATCGATCGAAAGTATTTTCCTTTCATTTTATCCCGAAAATATCACAAACTCATTAATAAAAAATATTAATACAATACCCATTTACTCGCGAACATAATTAATGAATTATATTCTTTTTTTAATTTCATAGCGGGGGCATTTATGCGGAAAACTCTGTTAAAAAATTCAAAATCAAATTGCAGTATATTTTGTGAACTTTTGTTTTTCGATATAAGTTTTTATAATGTATAAACATGTTATAAATAAAAGCGTAGTGTAAACGTACACAAGAACATGAAATTAACCTCAGCGTGTATGTATTCTCTCATTTATCTAACAAATGTCCATACCACTTTGACTACTTCCAGTTTTTATGGGTACTTATTTTTAAAATTGTACAGGCATAGGATTATGAATAATCATGGTACATATCTTTCAGCTACTTTCGATGAAAACACGATTCAGATGTTACGAGAGCTTAGGGTAGTTTGTAAAGCGAGTTACCTTCAAGTTAGAGAGTGAACGATATTCCTGGATCAAACAAAGAGTTTGTTACGAATTATCGAGGATGAACTGGAAGTACTTGTAGGTACTAAACTGTT